CCGTAGTCTTCCAGCTATGACTACCCTGTTCATCTCACTGATGATTTGACAATATGAAAACATTATGAGACTGGATTCGTCTTGTCACTGCTACAATAAGTAGCAAACTATGCAGCTGTTAATAGCAACAATAATGCACTTCTGAATGTCAAATATGATCTAAACTGGATTTAAAGTCTGGGAACACTGAATTAAATTTGAGATTATGCAAAAGAGTCTAGAAATGGCTGGTGATGAATAAAAGCAGATCTATATTATATATAAATATGTTTAAGTACTGAGAAGCAGAGAGAGTTATGAGTGTGCTTACAGTCCAGTAAGACAACATGTCCCACCTGGGTGAACATGAACCTGTGACATCTGATCTGCTGATTACAGTGCTGTTGACCAGAGTAGTGCAGGTGCATGTAACCCTTCATGTTGTCCTGTGGCAGCTAATCTAACTAATAATGTCACGCAAAGACACACACATACACACTTTGTTGTGGCCCTCTAACACACACATGCACTGCTAACATAGCTTTATTTAGCTTATCTCTGAAGTCCTTGGGTCAACACACAGCTAGTTTGTCAAACAGCTGACAGAGAGCCACTTCATGCTGACAATGTGGCTCAAGCCATGGTAAAAACTTAATGTAATCAAAAAGGGACTGGCCCTGTAACGCTGTCAGGGCCTGTATCAGCTCAGCCTATAGGATAGAGGGCATTTCATTTAATAATTAATCTTTAAGAAATCATGTCAAACATTAGTGGCTCTAAAGGGTACACACATGCCATCAAACAGTGGACTGGATTTACATTTCCAAGTGTCAAAGACAAACATACCGATGCTTGTTTTATAAACCTTTCAGTGTAGGTTGTATTTGACCACACTGACTAAAACAAACAAACAAACAAACAAAAATAGATAGCAAATAACAGTCCACAGTCCATAAGCACCCGAATCAGTAGAAACATGCAATACCCGGCTGATAATGATATTGCTTTAGAAGATATAAGAGGTGCATGAAGGTCATCAAGGTCATGGTGGCTCACTAGTCAGCCTAATGTGAAGGGCAGAAGCTGACTTAAGTGACAGAAAGTGGGTTTATGTCATCTGTTCAGCTCTAGAGGGGCCATATTCTTTTGTAGGCCTAGGTGAGCTGTTCCAGCCCAGTCAGGTGTGGATACAGCAGAGTGCAGAGTCCTGCTCCCTGCAGGGACCAACCTTCCTGCCAAGGACACTACATGAAATATTTCAGCTGCTTATTAATCTTATGATACTCACGTTGCTTAAAAGACATGTAATGCAGGGCAAAAACGTGCTGCACTTTACAGACACACACACCTATAAAAACTATATAAATATAAATCACAATTGCCATTTTTAAAAAAATCAGTGTTAGTGGGAAATTCTGCCTTTTCCCCGAGAACAGCTGGCTTTGGATAAGTTGCTCTTACCTTCCCAGCTCCCCGCCGGGGATGACGATGTAGTGGTCGGAGAAAGATTCGCCTGATGCGGGTCTGGATGGGGGACAACAAGCCGCGGCTCGGTCCAGCCGCCGGACCGCGCTGGGACCGGGATCTGCTGCTCGAGTCCCCGGAGCGCGAGCACTCGGGAATCATGACCGGTCGACCTGAAGTTTATATACAAACTTTTACAACTTTACAAACAGTAAACAGTGACGTTACAACACTAAACGATAAGTGAGGGAAACATTTCGCTGTTTGGCCGCCTGAGAGTCAGGAGCATCCCCATAGTTTAATCTGTCAAACAACTGACTGCTACTGCTCTACCTGCCCTGTCAAAGCTGTGCTGTCACTGTGGGAGGCTGTGTTGATGGACAGAGGAGCTGGCCAATAGGAGGCTACTTCCGCTGTGCTCACACTAAGAAAGGATAAAGCATCATTAGGCTCCAAAAATAAGGAGCCCAAAATATTCATTAGGCAACATAAATATCCAAATAATATTATTATTAATAATAATAATAATTAAAACAAATTATTATGAGGATAAAATAATATATCCTCATAATGATTTTAAAAAAAAAATTCATTTTAATTGCACATCTGTTCAAACTGTGCTCAAGAATTAATAACATTTAAAAGTTGAATAATTGAGATCCGAAATTAGCACAATCCTAATACTTAGGAATTTATACCAACTAATATAGTAGTAGTAGTAGTAGTAGTAGTACACTGTGCTGTTCAGTTTGCCCTATAGTGACGACCAGGTAACTTTACAAATGAATTAGGCCCTCATAACAATTCTGGGTGGAATCTGACACTACAAAATAAGGCTGTTCTCACTTTTTCCGATAGAGTAAATGAAATAAAGATGAATACATCCACACAGGAAAGCAATAAAATAAGCAATATGTAGAAAAAGAAGTCAAATCACCTTAAACAGATGTAAAACAACCTGAAAACAAAAAACGTGTGTAATACCACCCAATTATGTGCAGTAGTAGATTTTATGTCCTGGACCTATTTTTATTCCCAGTACACCCCATCTGGGGTCATGTTAACATGCAAATCAAAGCCAGCTGTACTTCATAGTTTATTCTTCAATGATAATATCTTAACATTTATTATTACAGTCAGTTATAACATTGCACTCATAATAACTGCTGGAAACACCTAACGTATCTCCCTGACAGCTGAACAGATGTCATCATCCTAGCATAGCAGCAGACACTATAAGAATTTTTTGACAAAAAACTGAAAGTAAGAAAAGTGGAGCATTAAAGAATGAACCTTGAGATTTTTGTCATATGTGTTTTCTCACTTCTGTCTGTTTAATACATCCACACAGTGGCAGTATCGTAAAAAAAGTGAGTTTTATTGAGATTGTGATATGATGGAGCAACAGCACAGCCTGAGTGTTTAGCGACCCATTCTTAGACAAAACAAAGCTGTACTTTTTAACATTATGTACATATGTGTATTACACACACACACACACACAACTAATAAGAAAACTATTAAAAGAAACTCATGCTTCAGTGTCAACTCCCAGCAAGGCTGCCACCATCGATCCTATCATTTAAAATTTCCTTTGATAAACTCTCTTTCTGAAAGTGAATATAATTAGATGAGCGTAGAACGACACGAATACTAAACAGTCGCCACAATTTGCCGCCACCTTACCTTTCTATCATGATTGTTTGCTTTTCTAAAAATTTATTTCAATATTTCTATGATAGCTTTTATCAGTGTACTTACATAATGTTATTAGCCATCATTTTTTCTAGAATAAATATGATCTACAGTGTATTTAGTCAACATATGAACCCAGTAAAAGCAAGACTTCTGTCTGCCATCTTTACATTTTCAACCAATTACATAAAAAAAATCTCATATTATTATGCATTTTTTCATAAATTTCTCAAAGCACAGATTATTTGCTGGATACATGCAGCTCTGGCATTTATCAAATAGTGAGACATAATGTGACATAAAAGAAAGACAAAAAAACCAGGACAGAACCTCAATTCTGAAACTGATGTTGTCACCAGAAACAATGGCGAACAGAAAAGGAGAAATACTATAAGAGTACTGTAAACAAAAACACACTGCGGTAGAACATCTCCAGCACTGAGTGACAAATAACCAGCTTGTTTATATAATAAAAAAGACACATATTGAAACACAAGGCTTCAAAAGTGAAGGCAATGTTTTTGACCGATTGTTATCACATCATCAAAAAACTTAAAACAAAGAAAACATCCAGGACTTCCTTTCACTTAGAATTACAATACAGTATAAATAACAATACAAAATAGTGTAGAAAAGAGGAAATGCAGCCTACAGTGGGTATGGAAAGTATTCAGACCCCCTTAAATTTTTCACTCTTTGTTAGACTTTTGCAGCCATATGCTAAAATCATTTAAGTTCATTTTTTTCCTCATTAATGTACACACAGCACCCCATATTGACAGAAAAACACAGAATTTGACATTTTTGCAGATTTATTAAAAAAGAAAAACTGAAATATCACATGGTCATAAGTATTCAGACCCTTTGCTCTGTGACACTCATATTTAACTTAGGTGCTGTCCATTTCTTCTGATCATCCCTCAGATGGTTCTACACCTTCATTTGAGTCTAGCTGTGTTTGATTAAACTGATTGGACATGATTAGGAAAGCCACACACCTGTCTATATAAGACCCTACAGCTCACAGTGCATGTCAGAGCAAATGAGAATCATGAGGTCAAAGGAACTGCCTGAAGAGCTCAGAGACAGA